CATCTGCCTCCCAGACCTGCAGAGTTCCGCCAGGTTCAGCCGGGATCTGCTCTGGCAGATGCCCTCGGAGAGTTTCTCCTTCCTCCAGATCCCCCTGGGCTGGAGAACCTCTATGAAGAAGATGGAGGCTCCTATCATGATACCTCCATGTTGGACCGCTGTTCTTCTGCCTCCTCTGATTCCTCCATTGACATTGCCTTTGTGAAGTGCCCAAAAGCCCCCCCAGCGTCACATCACGGAATAGCAACAAATGTGTCGACTACCCGCGATGTTTTTGGCAACATAGGAAGCCAAGGGAATGGCTACAGCAAACTGCCCAACCGGGGTTGTGTCTCTCCAGACGAAGCTGTTCTTATGCGTCGCAATCAGCATCGCCCCCTTCAGGCAAGCCAACGTAAGAGCAAGGTGAGTTTATTTGTAAGAGATATATAAAAATATTGAAGAATCATTTTTGTAGATGTTCATAATCGACACGTATGCCATCCCTGCTGTTAAGTCACTGAATGGGCTGCAAATGGAGAACACAGTGAGTGGTCTGGACAGTGGACCTCTATCAGACCATCTCCATAGGGTGGGATTGGGCAGCCATGCCAAACTGGAGCGCCAGAGCAGTAAAGGCAGCAAAGGAAGTTCCACCCCCTCCCGTAAGGTCCAGACCCCCTTGGCGAACAGAGCCGACAGTGACAAGCAGAGCCCTGATCTTCATGGACTGCTCAGCATAGTGGGTTTCAGCAAACATCTATTATTAAAGAACTATTATCATGTCTGTACAGGAATTGCCTGTTACATTTTAACATTAAAACCACAGAACCTGACAACATGAAAATCATATTTTTAGTATTATTTCTTAATTTTCTTGGTATATACTTGTTTTCAACCACATCAGGACACAGGAATCCAGTCATGGGGCGATGAGTCCAAGTGGAGGAGTGGGACAGAGGACAGTAACCACACCCCCTTCAGCGAGAGGAGTCGCAAAGACAAAGGAGGCTTTAGGAGCTCTTTCAAGAAACTGTTCAAGAAAAAGTAAGAAAGATAGTGCAGTATCATGGAGTCAGACACATGGCTGGCTTGGCACTGCAGTTTCTTTAACTCGAAGATACAAAGATGCCAAAAAGAAGGCAAGATTGAAAGGAAAAACATGTATTCAATTTAAACCCTTTTCTTTCCTCCTAACAGAACTAGTGATGAGAAAAAGGAGAAAGGAGGCGAGAAGACACCAGAAAGTCAAAATAATGGTGAATATGAGTCACCGGGGAAAAACCCCAAACTGATCCAGCTGGAGATGAATCGCGGCACAGCTGTATGAGCACGGCTCTGCAAACAGGCACTGTGACACATGAACAAAGATGCTGTATAACACATGCATGTACATCATACATATATACTAATGAGAGAAAATAGAGGCTGTTTTTCCTTTCTTTAAAACGTATAGACGCTGTATAAACGCTGTACAGATATAAGCAACTGATTTATGTTTCAATTACAAAATCCTTCATACTGAGGGAAATATGATGCGGTTATACAGTAAATACTGAGCTCTTTTGCTAATATTCAGTGTTATTATGTTAAGCTGTAGAGCAAAAGACTAGCAAAAAGACAGGCAGTAAACAACATAAATTAAACATGACTCCATGGTTAAAAACAATATAATTTTGTGTCAGTTAACATTTAGATGTGTGATGAATGTAGCCCCACACTGTAAAAAGTCTCACTCCATTTTTTTTCCTCTATAAAATGTTCCAGACACATAACATGTTCCCTTTTCTTTTCCACCCTGACAAAAAGGTTGTATCACTCCAGCTCATCTTTCTTTCTTTCAGTCTTCTTAATGATTTTAAGCAATACCCAGAATTACATTGTTGCATATACTCAGGAGAACAAATACTAAGCCGGTAAAATTTGTGTATGTTTGTTCGTGATTAAACATTTTGCTGAAAGACAGTAATGTACATTTTTTGTCATTGTGATGATTATTTCTATGAATTGTTTTGTGAAGAAAGACGAATGTCAGAATTTTGAATAAAGGTCCAGACTGTATAATTTGTGGCTCATCTGGTTCTTTTCCCCTAATTTTTTAATTACTAAGATTAAAACACTCAGTCTGAAAACAGAGTAATATCACTCCCAACTTTCTACAACAGTTGGACAATCTCAAACTACGAAGACAAACTTTGGTGACACTAAAAACTAAATACATCCCACGATTCACTATTGCCACCTTTCCAGCAATAATTCTGAAACTTTATTCTTCAGCCATAATGTAGACGTTTTGCTGATATGCTTGAGGTAACTGGGCCTCATTTACTAATTTACAGCTTGTATGCACAAACCTGCGTGTACAGGCCGCTTACAAAATAATTTCTTGGCACCATTTCGTAAATGCCAGATCTAGATTTTACTTTTACTGCAGTAAATGTCTTACATGGTGCTTGCCCTCCACCCGTTTTCTCCTTGTCAAGTTGTTTTTCACATTAACCATTGAATATCAGACACTATTATTTAATTTCTACAGTCGGACTTTCTCCTTTTTTTTGTCTTAGAGATGCGAACTTCTCTTTTACAACTTCATCACCACGATAATATCAGTTGTACGGAGCTTGATCAAGCCTATATGTTACGAATGATTCTGATTTACTAACATAGGCATGGTGGTGACAACAAAATAGGCTGCCACACACGCTTCATAAATCCAAACTTGCATGCAAACTCATTTTTTGTGCAGGGTACGAATCTTTTCATGCAAATACTGTAGTAAATGAGGCCCAGTCTCCTGTTGCAGGGACCCAGTTTTTGTGCAAGCTTCACTTGTCCGCCTGATAATTGGGTGAGGTCTAGCATCCTTTATGACTTGTCACAGTATAAATGCCACAGCTGTTCTGCTGAGGGTTCCTGGAAAGCTGTAACCTGCCACCCAGCCACATTTAACCCCGTCAGCCACACAAAGTGCCTTTCCTACCACGTCATCAGTGAAAATGACCACGCCGAGACCCAAATGGTTCAGTTCCATCTTTTTAATGTGTTAACCTGTCATCTCATAAATCTGTTACACTTCTGAAACAAAATATAGGCAATTATACAGTATGTAAAACAAACCCATTTTATTTTACACTATATACATTACATAACATATGCATCGCAATATGAAAACAGAAGACAAAGGTGATGAAATAGCCACAGAACAGAGGTGACGTATTGTGTTTTGTTTAAGATAGGGATGAGACCCGGATCAAACGGCTTTCGCAAATAACTCAAAAGGACTTCTATGAATCTGCTCTGGGCACCAGGTAGGGATATCTCTTCTGTTGGAGAAAACAATCCCCAACTCCAAGCACATTAAACGTCTCGGTGACTTACTCGACATGCGATTTGATCCAGGCCCAGTTGAGGTTATGAAACACACACACTTTTAACATTTCAGCAAAAACCCACAAAGGAAGGCCATGTTGGCACCTGCTCTAAGGATTATAGATTACGCTTGTGTGCATGATGGCAGAAAGAAGAAAACAGAGCATCATTCAATCCCACATGAACTTTGTTGTTATGCTAAATAGACAAATTTCCCAAACTTAAATGGTTTTAACAGGAAAGAATAGGCAGAGGTGGTTAGGGGTGCAGGAATAGCTCCCCCCCTTCCCCCCTTTTTCCAGCCATGTTGAAACATTATAGACGTCGGGTGTGCCGCTAAGAGGATACATAGAAGTGTTAAGATATTTAAGAATTATTTGAGATGGCTATTTTGAGAAAACCTCACACTGAGAAAGCCATTTTCAGCTAAATGAATTTTTTTTCATTTACACACATCAGCTGAAAGGACACAGACAGTTAAGAGCAAGTTTAGAGAACATGGTTGAACGCTAACCTCATGTGCTGCTGATGGCTGTCTTTAGTATTAGACTTTTTTTTTCTTTGATCTAGATACCACGAGGTAGATTTTCTAAATATGGCCAGAAGAAGTTTCAACAACATATTTTAGCATCACAAAAATGAAGAGTGAAATCTTTTCGGAATGCTTGATTCATTTCCCCTCTAAAACAGTACGATTCGCTAAGAGGCTGGTCATGCGGGGTTGATGATGACACTGGCATTTCAACCACTCAAGTGAGGGAAATCAATCAACTTGAATTCATAACGTAAAGGGTAAAAATATGATTATTGTGGCTTAATCTTTTTTTAAAATAAGTAACAGAGTTTGGCTTAAATAACTTAATAAAGGACTTGGCTGCAGCTATGAAATGACTCCCAGTCTATAATCACGTTTGTTGGCAGGAAGCACATGTATTCATTAATGGCTAAATCAATCACCTGGAACACTAATGCACTTTGCAGGCAATTCATAGTAAAATCGATACATGTTATTGTTTGCTGAAAGAAAAAGGGCAGAGCATTTCTATTCTCACGCAGAGTTCAACCGTTCTGCACTTGATCCTGTTGCATTACAGCGAACTGGAGTCTAGTAAGATGATTCCAGATGTGTCCACAGATACATCGGATGAAAACGTTATGAATAGTTTGTGTGGTTTTACTCTTTACAGGTGGTAACAGATTACCACCTGTGGTGAAACGTTCAACTGTCAGTCCCAAAGAATGGCAAGATTTCTCTTTAATCAGACTTGTGACAGATGAAATCAATTCCCGTGAACATTTAAAAGACAATGCTGCAGCCGCTGCTGTGCCTCATGAAGTGCCTTGAGGCAACTTTTGTTGTGATTTGGCGCTATATAAATAAAATTGAATTGAATTGAATCTCTGGGACAGAGATGCACTAAAAACCACAAGGTTGCTGAAGCAGGATTTGCGGCCTGTAATAAATTTTATTTTAAATTTTCAGTGTCACGTGTTGATCTGATAAAGAGTCGCTTATATTCATTTTGATCAATTTACTGCATTTTTTTAATTATTTGCTTTAGCCTATAAATATGGGGGAAAAAATTCGGAGAGAAGCTTTGAGAACGTGAACCATTCGACAGGCAAATGTCTCAGATTTCAGGATTACGCACCGTATCTCAGGTTCATCTACACTGGTGTCCTCAGTAGGAACCTCTAGTGTCACAGCTTGGAAAACTAAATGGTACACGTAGACCCTCCTACACATCAGACAGTGCGCATCTACATGCATGTAGTGTGAGCTCTCATACAGATATGGGTCTTTAAAAAAAAGTCACAGCTGACAATGAAAACTTCTGCAAATATTTCTCAGGAATACAGGGAAAAAAGGTGTTACACAGAAATTTCTATTAATGAGTCTGACTGGATTTTTGAGCAAGCCTTTGCACCATATTTAAACCAGCAAACCATTATTCATAACGCTACAGGCTACACCACTCAATACCACAATATGGAGAGTAATATATTTGGATGTGGATGCACTGTTAACACCACATACATGCTGTTATTGTTACTGCATTATTTCACTGAGGTCAAATAATGGTAACCCACCACTGTTTATTGTTCAGTGTAGTGAAATGTACTATAGCCTATCAGCCGTGTTGGTTTAGTTTACAGTTGCCTGTGTTACAGCGGTGGCTCACCGGTTGGAAATCACTTGGATGCTGGCGATTTCAGACTGTTGCTAGCTGAGACTGGTTACAAATAGGGTGCTGCACAAAAAACGTCTTGTGATTGCTTTTGGTTGCCAGTACACCGCTGCAGCTACCCATAGTTTGGATGGTAGATCCACAAATTAAGTTGTGCTTCATCGCAGCAAACACCATTTTTTAAAGGAGGCAACTATTGCTTTTATACCCAAATTTAAGCCTGCACACTGAATCAAACTAAACATTCAACAACTAATTTTTCTGCTCAGGAATGTGAGCGAATAACTGTAACTGTAACAGTTTTTATAAAACAGTAAAGCAGCTGTGGCATAAACCTTACATTGGGTGGTGGTCTGTACTTCTTTGTGACCAGTTTCACCTAGCAACCAGCTAATTAACTGGACAACACTAGGGCTAACTTTTCTCTAGTGACCAGCGGCGGTGGGCCGCTGTTCAGTCTCTGTGTGACTGTGGAACGCAGGCTGGCTGCAGATGATTCAGGTCTGCATTTTACTTTGTAAACACATTAATTCTGTCCAATGGGCTAAAAGCTAATTCGATTTAAGCCTAACCAGATATAATTAAATGACTTTATTTCTGTATATCCTTTTTTTTGTATTTTCTTATCTGCTGATGCTTTTTTTTGTAATATGGCCAGAAACTTGTCACTTGTTAAAGACCAGATCTGTACATGACACTCTTATATGTGCATATTCTATGTCTACGCACACAGACGCGCACACACATACACACTGTGCATACACACACAAGGTCATATATTATAATGACATCACATTTGTTTATGAAATACATTTTTCTCTGTGCAAATTTGTAACACCAGTGGTTCAATAAAAATAGCAAAAAATATATATATATTGCTAAAGAATAAACAAAGATTTCTGATTAAAAAATAAAAGAAGAAACAAAATGAAACGAGCAGAAATGATCATTTTCGTCCACCCTGATGACGGTCAAGTGATGAAAACAAGCAGGAAGTCATGACAGCGACGCGCTGAGAGTGAAAAACGGCCAATCGGTGTCCTGTGTTCGCTCAATTTGATCCTGAGGTCCACGCCATGAGAAGAGTAATATCGGATTACTAAAGATGTTCGCCTGTGAGACTGCAGGGGTCACATGATCAAGGAACTAGGGAGTGAATTTACTGTCGCGACGTGCCTATTTGTCTCGCGTTTCGTCTCCACAGTTGTACAGACCAACTATACACACACCTATCTACACGACCCTTTTAGTGTTCGTCTCTGTCAAAAATAATACTACACTTATATTTACAACAATTAAATAGAGGTCAATTAAGCACTTGTGTGGTGACGAGTATTGGAATTTGATGCTAGCGAAAGTGGCAAAGCTTTTTAGTTGGTTTTCTCTTTTTAATTTTTTAAAAAGACAAGAAATAAAAACAGGAAATTCATCCTGGTTGTTAAAAGCATGTCATGCCAAAATAAATAAAGGTGTAGTTTTTTTAAAAAAAAAACAGGGACAAGTAAGGAAAAAAGGAAGGAGGAGCAATGAAGAAGAAGGGTAGGTTTTCTGTGCAAGATGGCCCTTCTGTGAAGCTTTAGCGCAAACAGCAGTAGCAGTAGTGTTAGTAGCATATGTAGAAGTAGTAGTAGTAGAAGTAGTGTTGGAGTCAAATTTCCGTGCTAGACATTGTTCCCAGTGTGATGTATCCAGGGTAGGGGCCAAAGATTCAGCTGGCTATTCCGATCTAAAGCGGCCTCAGGCCAGGAGTTTTAAAACCCTGACACTGTCAGAAACGGGTCTACAACCCACTGCTCTAACGCCACACGCACACTTCACTGATACACATAACACTGCAGCTCTTTATAAAACGCTGCAACTGGGATTCCGCATGTGCACTGATGAACATCTCCCAGACACACTGCTAGTCGGGCCAGGGGAGAAGATGAAGGCTGGGTGGGATAAAAGTGGAGTTGGGATGAGTGTGTCGCTTGCTCCCTTTCTTGTACTAATGCTGGGGTGTCTACAGAGCGTGTTTTATGTGCACGTATGTTAGTGTGCATGTCTCAGTAGCTGTTTTCATGGCCTGCCAGGATGTAGAGGTTGCTGTGGGCTGTAGGGTTGTCCGTAGGCCTGCTTTCCAGCACCACCACCCTGCAACACAAAACACACACGGAGATAAAACACACATACACAACATCTAGTTCAGTTTCAAGTCAAGGTAGCGAAACAATTCACCCTTTCCCAGACGAAAGAACAGCCCAGCTGTTTTTTTAGGTGTTAAAACAAAACAAAACAAAAATAAACGGGATATGGTCCAAGCTTGTAAAAACCCTGTTATTTGGAAAAAGGCAGTAGAGAAACATGACTTACTCTGAAGCTAAGAGTACTCTCCTAACCCGGAGGAAAACTGTGAGAAAGCTGTTAGTACTCGTTCAGAGCAACCCAAAGAATCACACATCACAACTTGAAGATACTCAGCCTCAGTAATGAGAAAACAGACACCAAAATGATCCAGCCTCTACACAAGTGTGTCTATTTTGGCATTTTGTCGAGGGTCTACAACCCCAGCATTAAACTGAAAGAACTTATGGCATCTGACAGTTTAAGCAGGAAGGAATCAGACCAGATATAATTTTGGTGTCTCTTCTCTCATCATTTAATCAAAAAAAAAATTCCCATATTTTCTCTCTCTGAATTTTCCTGATCAGCATCATCTGACATCAAGCAGGATTTGAAAGTTCCGATAGAAAGCGGCAGAAGTTTTGGGCCGTCTGTGGCCAGCGGCCCGTGAGTGTACCTGGGAAGTTTGAGGCCTTTTTCCTCAGCCTCTTGCTCTCTACAGTCATCATGTCTTTAGTGGTGAGACATTAAAGAGAGTGTTAACAGAGACCTAAATGTGTGTCCGTGTGTGTGTGACAGGTATGAAACTGTAAGGAAACGCTGGCAGGTAAGGGTTTCTCACCTGTCTGATCCCAGTAGTCTGAAGATGCGTGTGCTGTCTGAGATCTCCTGAGTGATCTGATGAAAGAAAGCAGAAGAGGTGCTAAATGGTGCCGTAAAATAATGATCTGACTCAGATGACTCACTAATGATTTAATATAAAGGATTAAGATTTTAAAAACTGATCTTAAAGACATTTTGCACATGAATAGTGCTAATAAAAACCCCAAAGAGGCCGACAATGACCACTGATTATTCTTAGAGACTTGTACAAAATAAAACAAGAGACAAAACACTGCAACAGGTTAAAGTGGCGACAGCCTCAGTGAACGCAGTAGGAGAGTTTGGACCTGGAAGCACGGTTGATGCGTCATTGCTTAACAGACAGATAGTCAGAGTGAAGCGTTTTGACAGACTGTATGTGCATTTAATCCTGGTTTGCAACCATGTAAGAATGTGTAATTATGATACTATCCATAAGGCCACATAAATATTGGGTAGAAATGGAAACTGTTACACCCTGTTATCCCTTGAATTACTGTGATGTGATTTTTTGAGGCTATATCGAGCACCCACAGTAAGGCCCAAAATCCTAATAAAGTAAGCGGACTAAACATTATTACAGCGCACAAAGGCCACCTTTTACTCTTAAATGTGCTCAGTAGGAATCTCACCTCATTAGTCTTGAAACTCCGTCCCTGCATGCCATGTCTCCAAAACGCCAATACGCTGTCTTGGAGGCAAACTGGATAAAAAAAGGAAAGAAAAAACCCCCCCAAGGAAAAACAATACGGATTAAGGTTTGTTTATAGATCAACAGTAACCCACTAGAAGATATCCATGCCATGTAGTCTTTCTGTTTTTGTTTACCGATGTTTTCGATCTGGAAGTTGAAGGTGAGCTCGGCTGACAACTTTCTGCTGGATTTCAACCGACCCTGGAGATTCACTATCTTTATACACCCTGTAGTAGGAAAAACAAAAAAGAGAGAGGAAACAGTTTGGTAAAACTAATAAACTAAGTGTTAGTACCTTCTAAAGATGAACCTGAAAAGATCATAAATGGGTAAGATGAGTTAAAATCTATTAGTGACTCACTGTCGAGGCAGACTAGGATCGTGTCTCTCTCTAGCTGAGTGACATGGATCACACATGTCTGTGGGGTTTCTGCAGGAGGAGAAAAAGGCAGAGGATTACTTTGGCTCTCGTGCTGTCCCCACCAAAGAAAACTGTTATTGGTTTAACTTGACAGAGCCGGGCGGTGTTCTCACCTGCTTCTGTGAACCAGGAGGAGGTAGAGTTGGGATTGACTGTGCCAAATCGGACCACCTGGCTGAGTTCAGTTCCTTTACTGACTGCGACACAGATGAGAGGGTAGGTCTGTTCAGGGACCACCAACATTTCAAAGACCTCCAACGGACAGGGTAGTGGGAAGTCAATAGTCTGTTACATAGAAAAGGAAAAAAAAGTTTAGAAAGCTATGTGCTGTATTTAGATATAATCATAAAATCATTTGACACACACACACACACACACCAGCTGACAATTTGCTGACTGACTGGCACTAATATCAGCTGATCTGCCAGGACTGCAGAACTTGTGGCCTAGCAAAATTAACACTGTGCTTGGTCTTTTCAAACTTTTGATCTTGAAAAAAAACTGCTAGCATTGTGGAAAAATTTCTTGTGTGTGCAAATACTTATTTTCTTCCTTGTAACTGTGTAATAAAACATGCTTAGGAAAGGAGCTTAAATTAAATGAACATTATCTTGATTTTTGGGGAGGTTCAAAACTGACCTTGATGAGCATGAACTTCTGCATTGACTCCACCCACTCCAACAGCATGACACTTGACTGGAAGGCTCCACACAGGTACTTATGACCTGTGTATGGGTTACGAACTGCACAAAAACAACACCGGCCATGAATACATTTGAATTTTTCCTCTTTGCACAAAAATGATAATTCAGTGCTATTTTTTGTTCTGCACCAACACCACACCGGACAGTACAAGATAACACGAGCTAGTTTTATGCAACGAGTCCGAATTTGATACAGTTAAATAAAGTTAGTCACAGAAACATAATTAAAAAACAAAAACAAAAGACAAAAGAAAATATAAAATCAGCATATACAGAAACTCACCTACGCAGCACTTTTGGCACCCTTTAGTCTCTGGAATCTTATTGGACACAGCAAACTTCCTAAAACCAGATAAATAAAGAAATATGATCCAAATATTAAGCTGAAGTGGCACAAACTTCTGGTTTTATTGAAAACGTATTTAAATTAGTTAAAATAAGCAGGAGTGACATTTAATTTATGTAGGGGGAAAAAAAACTACAAGGAAACAGAGGCCATAAATATTTCACAGCTTAGATTTTCTAGTTGTAGAGTTACCTGGGAATTATCTTATCAGGCAGCTTGTGTGTGGGAATGGCTACTGGTAACTTCTGTAACTGTCTGGCCTGTTCAAACAGACCGCTTAGACTATGGGAGTACAGCTGAGAGGCTTTTCCTGCAATAAAACAGGATATAGAAGAAACAGTTAAAAGGAAATAATAGTAGTGACCTACGATACAAGCTATAAAAGCATATTTGAAGAAATAAAACACATTGTATCAAAAATCATACGCCGATGATCCAATTTAAGAACAATTTCAGAGACAAATGGGTCAAAGTAATAAGGGCAGTCAAGTGCCACACACTTCTATCATAATGATGTGCGACAACTTACCAGATATGGAAAGAAGACAGTTGTTCATGACATATAACCAGGTACACCGCCGAGGGAAGAGCTGCAGGTGGACACAAAGTAATCTGAGCATCTCAGTGTGCCAGAACGTTTAAAACAGTCTGATTCAAAGACTGGACTATCTCACATGTATAACATTACAACTAATATACCCTGTTTTCAGAAAGAATATAGCATTATGTTAAATTATCCGATTTCTAGTCTCACCTGTTCCATTGTTGTCTCATGTAGCTCATTGAGGTTTAATGTGTAGATTCCCTCTTCTGCTCCGAATATCAAATACTGGTCTGAAACGCACAAAAGAGCATTTTATCCGTGCTTAGTGAAAAGTGAAAACAACACCTGTAAAATAAACTTTGATAGTGTTTTCCTGTTGGTCACCTCTGGTGTCAGGGTTGATCCACGAAGTGGCACAGTGGATCTTGAGGGGACAACCGTTGAACACCTTAGAGAAACACGCACCCATCTGGAAATGAGAAAAAAAGAAAGAAGCTCAAGATTATTTTAATTTAAATGATTTGGAGACCCCGTGATTTAAATGCCTTTAGTGAGACACTCCACACTAAAAAGTAATATTTTAACTTGCTTATGTATTTGTTTTCCATTTTTTTCCATATAAGTAAATTCATTTCATTTAATATTTGTATAGGAACAAAAAGATCTGCAATGCCAAGAAGTCTTTACAACACTAATCTAATTAACTCAACTACATTATTTTCTCTTAAAAACAAACAAACAAAGCAAAAAAGACTCATACTTACATGGACTTTGGGTGTTGGGGGGAGACCATTACTGATTGGCTTCTAAGGAAGAGATAAACACAAACACACATTAAAAACATCAATAATAAAATGACTGGATGATATATGTGAGCATAACAACCAGTATATATAAAATGTATTCTCCCAGCAGATAGTCTATAGTGCACTTAAAACATGCTGTAAATAAAAGAATTGTAGCTGAATTAGCTCACGAAGCTATTAGTCATAGTTTGAAGTACACCCATCTGGTGCTTCAGTTTGACAAGTATGTAGATGAAGCTATCTAGGTGCATAACTTCTCCTACAGCACTCCTCTAAACTTTCTCAAGGGTTGAACATTATGGAATTTATTTTTCCCCTGATTTATAATCCATTATTGACTTGGGAGATGCCCAAATTCCACTTCTTCTTTAAAAACAGTGATGATCAGCAAGAGCTGTGACAGCAACAAAGGTCATGATCCTTCACTGGCTTTGCACTGACACAAACACTACCCAATACATTTCACCTGACTTGGCCTTTCCTCTCCACACATGTTATGCCGATTATTAATAATTTTAACAATGGCAGCACTCTGCATCCTCCCTCAAGACCTCTGTGGGTCCTTGAGCCACTCCTGCATACTTACCGGAACATCCTTCTTGTCTTTCCGTATGGGGACACTAGGTGGCATGGTGGACTGCCTCTCTCCTGGGCTGGCCCTCTCGCCATTGTGGGGAGAGTTCAGCCCATTACCTACAACAACAACAACAATAACAACAACAGACACAACTTACTGTGTTTGAGTGACACAGGAACAGAGAGAGCAGGTAAGAGACAGAGAGGCTGTGTGTGCGCATGTGAAGCTTTGAAAACAAAGAAAGCCAAAATAAACATGACACGTCTACAAAAACACTCGATTTAATGAGAACAATTTAATTTATAAGACTAAAGACAGCAAGGAGTGTTAATATTAAAGAGTAAACAAAAACAAGCTATTGGGAGCAGAGAGAGGGGGGGGAGGAGGGAAGGAGCAGGCCAGCAGGAAGAACAGAGGATCAAATATGGTCATGATTGAGGGGGAGTGTGAATGCACCACAAACTGCAGTCAATTATTGATCAGTTTCTCTTCTTTACTACCCCAGCGAGTAACCAGCGAATGACAGGTAGTAAACGGCAAAACCATTTGACCTACGCACAAATGTTGCTTCCTGTCGTGATTAGAGCCATAACCATATCGTCAAAGACACTTCAACTTTCACCTGAGCGTGCCTACAGCACGACCATTCCAGCACGACTGTGCAATTCTACACTATGCTTTCAATCTACTGAACTGTTATTATTTCCAAAACACCATAGTTAATATATCTACCATATACTGCTTATTAAATGTAACACTTTACTGTAAAAGCTTCCAAAGCGCAATCAAAAAACTAGAGAAATAAACTTAAAAATATTCGGGATCTACATTCTCTGTGCAAAATCAAAAAGGCAAAAATAATATCCAAAGAAGCATATCCCTGTCCTGAGATTAGGTCATCGGTGGCAGCAAATTTTAATTGCTCCACTTATCCACTTCCAAGTCAAAGTAACACTATATAACACAATAATAAAAAAAAAATCAGAGCATGACTGAGATACCCGAAATGCTCAACAACAATGCAAACATTTAAAAGGCACACTAGAATAGGGATTTAGTCACTTGTCTAAAGTATAAAACGGGACTAAAACTTTTATAAAATCTGGCATTTCTGTTACTGTTTAATAAGTTCAGTTATAATTTGGCATCTGTAAACTAGCAAAAAGAAACATGAAACTGCAAATTTAACTAAAAAACAAACTTCATTGTCAGAATGTCTACAACGGCATATTAGGGCCACTAAAGGCCAAAAAAGGGGAGGAAAAGAATAATTGGAGGACAATGAAGGGCTTAATATTCTGAGAGTTAAGAAACTACTTTGAGATTAAAGTTGGAAACTTAAAATGTAAAAAAATAAATAAATAAGTTATATTTGAGCTTTTGGGATCCATGCCTCACGTGAAAATCTAACAACGCAACAGCTCATTTTCATGAAAACCTTTAACCTCCACTGACCCTAATAGGCCGTTTTTAGAACGTGAGAGCTGACAATGCACAGAATAACTTTTTGTTAAAAGAATCAAAACTGGACCAGTCAGCCAGGACTATGTTTTCACCTCTTCCTTTGTCCTAAGCAGCGAGGGGGAGTGGTTTAGCAGCATTTGATTGTTTGGATCACTGGATTGGATGAACCAATCAGTCTTCACAAAAATGACTTTAGAGACAAACAATCATGTTGAGCGTGAGCTGATGAACGGAAGAAACAAAGCAAATAAAAACTTTTAAAAAAAGCATTACTGTTAATGGAATCATGGAACAAATAAATCAGACTACAAGGAAAGACTAATGGAAGACCACACAACCAATCGCAGGGGACGACAGGGTCTGCGGACACTACCCGGCTACCAAATCAGCTGCTCTTACTCTCTTTCTTTTCCTCCTGTTTTTCCTGCTCCTCTTTCACCTCCTTGAGAACCTCCCACGCCTCCTCCAGCTCCTCCTCTGTGTGAGGCGTGTGGAGCCACTCCCAGAAATGCCTAAAGCTCCCATCATCCTCTGTGGCAGAGTTTTCGACGTCTTTGAGCTTCGGGCTCTCGTTACCTAGGCTACTGCGGCGGTGGGGCGGCAGCTTCGGGGGCGGGGGACGCGGGGGGACATAGGAGGCGGGCTTGGCGGGGCTCGGCGTCTCTGGCACTGGGCAGCGCTTGATGGTCCCTCCCCCTCCACCGTCATCTTCACTGTGTGAGTGGCTGTCGTCGTGTTTTTGATCCGTCTGATTATGGGGTGAGGAGATGGATTTGGGCTTCAGAAGAAGAAGAAGAAGAAGAAAAAAAAAGATTGTATAAGAAATCAGTTACTTTTTTCATATTCTGAGCACTAAAATTCCTACTAGTTCAAAAATTCTGCTAACTACAGACACAGTTTTTCCTACCTTAGGAGGAAGTGGGGGTGGGACCCTTGGCCTCATGATGGTGCTTGATTTACTGAAGAATAAGAGGGAAAAATCTGTGACAAGATACTCAAGACAGCTGCCGTTTTTTTACAACCAGGAAATATACGGGAAACAATAAGTATATGTTAGAATGTTAGCACTGAAGCTATGGTTTGACTTGCCATTTTTAAGCCATTTATAAGCTAAGTTATTACATTCAATGCATAATTACAATCCAGAGTTTTTCTTAAAAAAAAAACCCCCAAACGCAACCATTTTATTTTCTATTTCCAATTACATATGATTGGAAATAGAAAATAAAATTGTCGGATTTGTTTTAAAAATAATCGAAAAAATATGCTGACACATTTGTGAACCCAGATCAGATGAGATGTAATATTTTGCAGGCTCACTGAATGTGAAATCAAAGGCTCAAATAACAGGTTTAACCACAGCCCAATGCCACTTACACACAAAGGTCATTAAAGGTTAACCACGAAATATAAAGTAAGACAAGAACTTTAGACAACAGTAAAACAAAGAAGAGTCAGCATGTGCAAAGCCTCTGAATAGATAGCGCTGATACTGACAAACTTAATAATATTTTAGTAAAAGTATTACTTTTAAAATTAAAATTTATGTTTAGTGTAAATAAATTAGAGTTTGTGTCTTGCTCTCATTTAAAGCACCTCTTAAAATCTTTTTTTTTTTTTTAAAGAAAAAGAAATAGAAGAGTAATTGCAATTATGCCTTCCGACCAGCACGATTTCAGAGACTTTATCCACGACATTTTATAAATGTTGTAGTTAAGTTATGGACAAGAACCAATCACAGCACACAAATCAAAATGGAGAGAGGCTGGGAGCCAATCACGATGAAGAATGAAGATGGGGGTACCAAGAAAAGAAGTTGCAGTATTTAAGCTGAGTGGGAGACACAGAAAAAGATTACCTCCCTTAAAGAAGCTTAAAGTGTAAACTTTATCAGTACAAAACTACTCTGTGACTGACATAGTTTACACATTCACTTAAGGGTTCTTATAAAGGTGGTAAGCTATGCATGGGTGCAGTAAGCACAAAAGCATCTCTAAAGAAAGCAGGAAGATTTGTATCACAGCTCTCTTAAAATGTACTGATGCTAAACACAAGGCTGGTGATAAAGACTATGCAATCTGATTATGACCAAAATATGGAAGCCCGTTTCCACCACTATAAAAAAAAAAGTATCCACAACTCAAAACTTCGAGTTATTTTCCAATCTGTAATCTACATGAATGATGTCATTTTCTTGTACCTGGAAGGATATGGCGCAGAGGAATGCGCACTCAAAACCGTATCGCAACAAACTGGTTCTTTTGAGAGTACGTTTGCTGATAGTAACGCCATGTGATTCAGCTAATAGCACAAGGATTTCATCATTTGTGAAGCCACGTTGAAAATACTCAGCAATTTGTGCATTCATGACTTACTTACTGGTAGCTTAGCTGTAGCATTTGTAGCTGAGGGCTTCAGCTTCCAGGTAACAAGGAAATGATGTCATTCATGTAGATTACTGATTGGCAGTGCTACTTTTCTTGGAATTTCAAGTTAAGTCAAAATTTTGAGTTATGGATACTTTTTTTTTTTAAAACCAAAAACCCCAAAAAAGCCAAGATCATAACTTTAAAACTTTAAAATGCTGAATGTGCAAAAGGGAATTTCTTTGCAACTGAAATTATTTTAAGATGCTTGAAAAGAAACAAAATCTATTCGAATTTTTGATACCTACACTAAAGATTTTCAAAATTTAGTATCTATGTAATCCAAATGCTCCTAACTTTAACTTTTACTCAGTAACTAAGATTTGGGGACCATCTGTTGGTCGTCAAGTCTGGATGTGAAGACTTAAGCTGAGTGTTTTCGTGATCAGCAACAGTTTGTGTTCTCAAACTAAACTGGAGACTGAGAAACCAATAATTACTGTACGCTCACTGGCTACAGACTTGTCAATGACAAGCACACCCAAGTTTATCATCCTTTCTCACACTAAAATGCTAATGAATTAACATCATACTTAATCAATAAAACTTAATAACGCTTCATCAAGTCTTCAGTTTAATGTTGACTAATGTCTCAAAGCAAAGGAGTCAAAAGTGTTATTTTTCCATAGATTTGTATAAAACTGGAAGCCCTTTTTGGAACCAGAAGAGTCACAGCAGAGTGCAGGTTCAAGTCGTTTCTGCATCGGCTACACCAGGGGTAGGCAACTCCAGGCCTCGAGTGCCAGTGTCCTGCAGGTTTTAGATATCACCCTGGGTCAGCACACCTGAATCAAATGATTAGTTAATTCCCAGGCCTCTGGAGAACTTCAAGGCATGTTGAGGAGGAAATTTGGCCATTTGAATCAGCTGCGTTGGATCAAGGACACATCTAAAACCTGCAGGACACGGGCACTCGAGGCCTGGAGTTGCCCACCCCTCGGCTACATAGAGTCTGAGGGACTAAATATTTTGTTCCTTTGTCTGGAGGAAATTTCCTTTTTTGTTTGGCTAGAAGATTTTGTTTTCTATCGCTCTTAAACACCTTATAAAAAACCCTTAAGAGAGAAAAAAAACCCTCCCTCCCCTCCCCCCCACCACAACACAACAGTAACTACAAAAGCTAGAAACTGCTACAGCACAACAGGTTGCAGCCACTTTAGGAATTCAGGTTATTTTCATTTGTGCAATCACAGCACTGTGTGTTGTGGATATGACTTGAAGGGAAAATCCTATAATATAAAGCACAAAAGGCCTCTCTGACTGTGGTGGAAAATATCTGTCTACAAAAAAGGGGGAGAAAAAAAAGACTGGCCTGCCGCAGACATTTGGCTTTTACACGGAGGGGAGAGGCTGGATGCCAGATCTCCAGTTTTATAGAGGCAAGATAAGACAGAAGGCAGTGTGAGTGTACTCTCACACACACTCATACACACACAGAGCAAGAAGGCACACAGATGGCGAAGCCAGTGAGGAACAAAACAAGACAACGGCACACAAGAGGACAAGGTCATGAGCATCAGTTATCTAAAGAATGACACTGAACTCAGGCTCAACGATCCATATAGAACATGTCAAATCTTTAGCTATAAAGTATATTTTAACGCTGTGTTGTTTGCGTGACACCTACACTTCTCCATTTATTACATTTCGACTACTGAAAGAATATATGAGGAAATATCAATAGCCTCTTGGTGAACATTTAGGGTTAGGGTTACTGTTAGTAGCTTTAAGAAAGCGTGGAAAACACAAAGGCAGCAGGCACACACACACAAACAGATGGCGTATGTGGCGTGATGGTGGGGTGTGCTCCATAAAGATGTGTGGATGAAACTGGCAAAGGTAGGAAGCCTTAACTCCTTGTCTTCCTTCTCAGTCTTTCCTCTGAAACAAGTGAGGGAAAGATGGGAAAAGAAGGATTTGGAGAGGCTTCCAGTTCTAAGACTGAGAGAGAACTTACTGAGTGTGAGTTTCATCATCATCTGCACCATCATCATCCTCATCCTCATCATCCCCTAAGTGTGCCACATGGCCCCTGGGAGAGGAGGTGAAGACAGGAAGGGGGGCGGGGAAAGAAAGGACAAAGGAGGAGTGGGAGAGGGGGCATAAGGAGGAGTGATCAGGGGAGAAAGGGAGCAAGCAAAGGAGATAGGGGATGACAACAGAAGGCGGAGGCAGAAGAGGACAGAGGAAGAAGGGGGAAGGGGAGGGAAAGCTGAGTGAAGCTTGGTTCACAAACTACTTCTGAACTCCTGACCCTGTGCAGATCTGAAAGGACTGAATAGGTTCAAATAAAAGCATGACCCAATTTTTACTGTGATCCACAAAAATCAGCAAAACGACTCATCTGAACAACCAAGAGAAACGGTCTGAGGGCTAATTACTTCCACAACCAGACACTACCAAACCCAGCGGTCCAGTTTGAACCATTAAGTCCTTATAGATCTACACACGTCAACAGTAAGCGTAACCTTTTAAATCATATTATATTATATCAAATTCTCAAATACTGGTAAAAGTCCTTTCATTATCCCAAGGACAGAGAAACCCGGCCTTTGTTTGAAACTCTCTCAATCCTAATGTTTTACATATCAGGAGATAATAAAAATAATTTGGCCCTTAGCACGTCCTAAAAATGGGTAAATATAACCTCTGATGAACAACAACACATAACATATTAAACCATGTCATAATTTTAATACAAAATACCAAAGCAGTATGTGAAGGACTAAGTACGCCGTCACTGCTTCCACAACAATTAAAAGAGTGTAGATACCAGGTGCTACTAATTAAATGCACTTGAATATATGATGATAAGCAAGCGTGAGCACCTTCAAAAAAGTAAACATTTAAAAGCTTGCTAATCGTCCCAGGAGTGGATGCCCCAGCAGGTTCACCCAAAGCTCAGATCATGCAAGGCTCGGAGAAACTGCAAGAAACCCCAAGAGCTTCACCTCAGGCTCTACAGCACTCAGCCTGCATGTTAAACATCAAAAGTTCATAACACTACAATCAGGAAAAG